GTTTTCCACTTGCCCTTATCCATAGCAGCAAATTCTTCCTTGGCACTATGTTTTGATAAAGCAACGGGATTACCAGGAGTTGTGTAGCCTAAACCAGTAACAATGACATCATCTAATTGGTCATTGGCTGCTTTGACTGGGCTTGGCGGTTTATCTGCAGCCTTAGCTGGGCTTGGCGGGTTAGTAGCATGGCCTGTGGGATCATCTTCCATCTGTTCAGTAAAGGTTTCATGATGTTGTGTTGGCGGATCATCAAGAATAGCGTCAGCATTTGGCTCAAACTTTTTGGGATCTTTTCCGGTTCAGTGTCCGGATTATCATCAGTCGGTTTATTCAATTTTGCCTTTTTGCTGGGCCTAGCTTTGGCTCTGAAATGAATGGAAATAAAGGTTAGTAGATTAAACAGGTGCAAGGCATAAAAGAGCTAAGTGTAGTATGCTTACCCAGGAACAATCTTAAAGGGAGGAAGCTGTGTCCTTGTTGATTCGCCACAGGATGAATGGGAAGTTCCCTGGTAGTTTGAGTCAAATGGATTAAGAGGTTGCCGAAAATAACCATCATTGGGATAAGATGTGTCAGGAATGGATGAAACCTTTGGTGGGCGTTTACGAACCGGCGTGTTCGGTAAACCAGATGAAGTAACCACCTGGCCACTATGCCGGGTTGTGCGGCGAGCTTCATGCTGCTATTTCTTCAAAAGAAAGTTTGGATCCAGATAAGCTAGAGGGTGTGAAAAATTTACTTTACAGTTTGCTTGACGGGTTTTCTGTGTTGGCTGAGGATCTGAACCGGAGGAAAGAATAATTACATCTACATCATCAGCCCGGCTAGCTTCAGCGTCATCCTGATAATGGTCATTGTCAATGAGGTGTATGAAAAATGAACTAAGAGAATCAAGTTCTACCTCTAATTCCGGGTTGTCAAGATCTTCGTCGAGGTTCAGCTCGGTGGACTCATCTGCTTTCTTCTTGGTAGGCTTTTTGACGACCTTTGTCTTGGGTCGAGGGGTCTTGGCCGGTTTATCCTGAGGTTTCTTCTTCCAAAATGGGTCGTCACCCTGTTAAAAGATTGGCAAAGGTTATAAGGAAGAGTTAAGAATGTCAGGTTCAAATAGGAGTTAAGCAATTCTTACAGCTGGCGGTTTATTCGAAACACAGAAGGGACTTAGCCCTGTTTTACTGCAGACAGCCACCGATTCATCCAGTATCTTTTTAACAGCTTCAGTGATTTCAGTGTCAGTTAACTGAATGTTAGTGTGCCATTGAGGGTCTTTTAAGTCCCCTGTGTACTCGCACATTAAATCGGGGCGACATCTTAAAGGCAAAATACCCCAAGATATCGAGCAACGAACAAAGTCAATTCATGTTAAACCGTTAGCCATAAAGGCTCTGAGCTTTGCAAGTTGTGGTGCATATTTGGCCCGTTCTTTTGTAGTCAACCTTTGGGGAAATGGATGTGTATTGGTAAGTCAGTGAGCACGATAATCTGGCAGAGGATTCTCATCATCAGGGGAAGTATCCTTGCAATAGAACCAAGTTTGGTTCCAATCCTTAGGGTGACTATGATGCTTGGCGTGAGGGAAGCTGACGAAACGCCGCCAAGTTCAGTATTGGGTCCGTCTACAAATTCGGTACAGCGGTTTAAATAGAAAAGGTCCCTGAACAGTTCAACGGTAGACTCTTCTTGCAGATAAGCCTCGCAAAACACTTGAAAATTACATATATTGGACACAGAGTTAGGTCCAATATCTTGAGGGTGGATCTGGAAGCTAGCAAGCACATCACGTAATTTTTTTGATCCGGGAGGTTTAAAACCACGGCTTAGATGATCAACAAACACAACCATCTCGCCATCCTTGGGTGTAGGAGGATTTTCTGGACCGGGGGCTCGCTAGTGGATTTCACTCTGTTTTGGTAAAGCGCCAGTTATAACACATCCTTTCAGATCTTCTTCCGTAATCCGGGATGGAACCCAGTTACAAGCATAAAAAGTCTTGGCCATTTCTTAGACAACCTAAAGGAAGGTTTGTGCCGGTTTAAGATTCATGGTTGACAAGCATAAAGCGTTGCAGGTTAAGAGACAAAAGGTATTCAGGCATGCAAAAATGTTAAACCGGAGGTTGATGCTATTATAAATGATAAAGCGATTGGCGGTTTACAAGGGGACTAATGGTATATGGCAGGTTATTTTCTAAAAGATAAATCGCCTACACGGACAATGAGAGTATAGATCTGAAGCCAAAAAATGACTAAGTGAGGAAGAACAAGTTTCACAGTTTCACATTAGAAATTTCAGATCTACCACATGTCAGGAAAAGGAAAATATTTAGACCTAAAGGTTGGTGCTTGAGCAGTTCATGAAGTTCCAGATTGGGTTTTTCTACACAAAAGAGATAGTCTGATGGCAAAAGAAGGACTATCATTGCTACCGCATAAGGATATATCAGGTTTGGAATCTATCATGTAGCCTATGATGAAGAACAGGGGAAGAACACCACGAAACTTTCATGAGCCCGTGCGAACCCTAAACGGATCTATAGAGGAGAAGAAGAACTTACCGAAACTATTGAATGGCGGAGGTGCGTGAGCAGGGTCTGGTCCGAATAGGTCGATGCAGCGGCCAAAGTCGAAGCAAAGGTGAAGTCCGATGGCGGCGGCGGAGCTAGAGCGCTGGGGCGACGCGAGGAAGACGACGAGACGAAGAGGCACGAAGTGAAAAGTGAAAACGACCCTCCATCCTATTTATAAGGTGAATGGATAAGTGGCAGGCACGAGAATCGAGGAGGTCAAAAAATGGATATGCAGACATGTGGAGGCCTCGATTTTTGGAGATCCATTAAAGGAGATACATTAAAAGATTTGGGTTCTGTGTAAAGTTAATAGCGGATGACGTCACGGCGGGTTATCATGGTCTTGGAAGATGACATCACGACGGTTTACAAGATTTTTGTGAAGATATTGAAGAAGGAATTTTTCTAAGTGCTGAAGATTGACATGAACAAGTTCAAATCAACCTGGGGCCTAATGTTGGGGATACAACTATTGAGTATAAACTGCCCAGGAGCAGCCGGGTTATACTCATAGTGGTTTACTCTTATTGAAGCCCATGAAGACAAGGAATATGGCGCTTCACGGTGGAGATTAACAACAAGGCCCAAAGCCCAAAGGCGGATTAGGGCCCGTAGAGGTAAACCACCATATGGTGTGTAACTTTTATTGTAAGATAGGAAAGGGTAGAAACCGAGCCAGACACGTTTATGAGCCGGCCGGGATTCTGTAAACCGCCGGGCGTCAACCTGTGTATATAAAGGGACGACCCGGCGGCGGTTCAAAGACAGAAAAGAACAACAACTCGAGAGCGAGGCAAAGCGTATTTCGCTCCCTGGTCATCGAAACCCTAGCAAACCCATCACAACTGGGAGTAGGCTTTTACCTTCACCGCAAGGGGCCGAACCAGTATAAACTCCTTGTATCCTTTGTCCCGCTTTAACTCCTTTAAGCTAACTACGTTGCGATGGCTTCACAACTAAGTCCTCACACTAGGACATCTGTCGTGACAACCCCACGACAAGTACTTTTTTTTTAAAACGATGGCAAAAGATTTACCTCGTCGATTAATTACAGCATGAGTACTATATTCTATTCGATGTAACTCTCAACATGGACTTTTGCCATTGTACTTTTGTGTTGTTAGTTTGATCCAACCGGAATTCATAGTGTTCAAGAATAATGCCCATTTTGTTCAAGTGCAATGTGCTAGCAGCGTCACTGTTATGAGTTTTATGTGACTTGTGCATATCCTTGGCCACTTCTTTCAATGTTCTTCAGTTCTTTAATGGTTTCGTTTTGAAAGTCCGGGATTTAGGACAACTTATTTCAGGCGCACTAAACCGTTGTTTGGACATCATTCATGGCCCCTCATACTTTTGATTGCTTTTAATATTCTTTTGCTTCTTGTGAAATTGTTTGAATGATAAATTATTTTTCAGGTTAATCAGCTTATATTTATTTATTTTCTTCCGTTGTAACGCACAGATATGTTTGCTTTAAAAAAATATATAAACGGAGCTGAATTTCTCCATTTTTTCATCTGTCATGGTATTTACCCGACACAAATGAATTGATGTCCCGTGAAGTGAGAGAGGGGCTAAAACACATTATTTAACCCAACCGTTTTAGCTAGATTTTTTCACGACTCCGTGCAAAATTCGGAAAAAAAATTGCTGCTCAGTGCAAATTTTGATTTTTTTTTCATGGCGTAGTGCAAATCCCAAAGAGTACTCCAACTTTTCAAAATAATACCTTCTATGGAAGATTCGAAAATTTAGTCCTTTAATATCAGAACCGTCATACAAAATTCATACAGAAGTATGAATTTTTTAAAATAATACCGTATGTGTAGCATGATTTTTTATGTATGACTTATATGCATTTCTGCTAGCTTTTAGCACGCGCCTCCCTGCAGCCACCAGATGACACCGTTTAGTTATTGTTGCGTTGTGCTTATGGATGTTTCTATGGACACGTCAATCATCTCTCCCGTTGCGACACACGGGCATTTTGTGCTAGTAATAATAAAATCAACTAAAGTGTATACCATAAAACAGATGGAATTTCGTCAAAATCTGATTTGGTGTTTCTTTTTGGAAGAAAAGCAAGGGGTGGAGCTTGTAAACTGCCCATTCTTAAATGCTCTCTGGAAGATGGCCGGCCGGATTAAATGGGACCGGACCAACCCGTGTTTGACGGCGCTTCTTTTCATGGGCTGACGCGCGCATGCTGCCCAAGAAAACGAAGCGACTGCGGCCCATAGCGAAGCGCCGTCTCCTCGGCTCTGGAGCACACCCCTCACAAGTCCCCGGCCCCACCCCCACACGGCCGACGCACAGGCTGACAAGCGGCCCCTCGCCCCTCGTGTCCCAGCTGCCATGGACACGGAGCAGCCGCCGCGAGGACCAATCGACATCGACAAGGCAGCCGGCCGCATTATTGCCTATCCTGATGGAGGCCATCTCCACCATCCAAAGGGAAGAAGCGCCGGGGACCGAGCGGGGGCGCCTCCTCTACTCCCTCCCCACTCCCGCCGATGCTCTCTTCAGCTCCCCCTCCGACCCCCGCCTCCTCTTCTTCTTCCCCCGGTAAGCAAGATCGCCGTCTCCCCCCTGGATTCGTAGCCTTTTGCTTGTGCTAAGATATACTGGAGCATTCATTCTCTCTCTTTCTGCCATGTGCTGTTGAGTATGTGTTCAAGAACGGTTCGCATTTGGCCGTTTGGTGCTTAGCCGGATTGAATGTAGCACCAAATAATCGTTTTAATGATTAAGTTTGCTATAGGAGAAGTAGCATATTACCATTTTATGGAGTCTCTCGGTTCACAGGCTGAGCAGCTCTGTTCCAATGTGTGCCTCCTTTTATGCTAATAAAGTGTATGTTTCCCCTTGCACGAACAGTAAGATTGCGTAGAAGCGCAGAAGGATCTTTTTTAGCAAAAGGCACCGTGAAGTCCTCAAGTAGCCTTTTACGGCCACATCGCAACTTTTAGTCCATGTTTTGGTTCATCTGCCGAAAATTGGGGCTCTGCGTTTATTTTGTTTCTTGCATTTCTATAAGTCAATAGGAGTAGGAGTTTGAATAAGTTTGTCCTCACAGTGCTAGAATATACTAGTAGATTTACAAATCAAAGGTGCACACTAATCTAGTGAACGATATAATGGAACAAAAACATGTCCCCTTTTTCTTCAGACCACCATACTTAAGTAAAACCCAAGTGAAGCCGAGCTGTTCAGGTTGAGGGATTAAACACAGCAGGCACAGTTTTCTGCTCCGTTTAATATACATGTGCATCGTGTGCTTATACTACCATTTGCTTGGTTCTTAACACAGGTGAAGTGTTCAGCTATGCTTCTCATTGACCAGTCACACCTGAACTGAATCGACCTTGCTACCAAGCGCTTGACAGTTTCAGTGGAAGTATACAGGACTTTGAAGCAATGATCTCATCCATCAGCTTACTTGACAGTTCCCACCAGCTCATCCACAAACTGTACAGAAAATGCTGGCCAAGTAACTCAAATGCCAAACTGAACATGCATTCAACCGCGAAATCTGGGGGTAAGAGCATGAGGGTGAAGATGGCACTTCTGAAGCCCCATGCAACTGACTTCAAGAGGAACCATCAAGCCCACGAGGAAGACAATGTGTTCTACAAATTAGTTTATAGGCTCCCTGAGAGCCTTAGCTGTCTGTACACCAGTCAGAAACCAGTCAGAAAGAAGAAGCAGCAGAAGCAAGGAACTGTGCCTAGTAACCGGTTTGGTGTGATCTTGGAGTGGGAGGGAGTTGTTGTGGAAGATGATGACCCTGACCTGGAGCCCCGAGTGTGGTACGTACTATCACTTGAAGAGGCAAAGTCTTTTCCTCATGATGAAATGCTGAAGGAAATCGAGGGAATGAGAACTGATCAGGCTATCTCAGAAGTCTTATGTTGGTCGACAGATGCAAAAGAAATTGAAAGGTTAGCAGCACGCAAGGAGGTAATATATCAGAAACTCCGAGGCACTTTCTACCAGCTGCGACCAGGTGTTCTCGACTTCTTGAACGCCCTTGTGGATTCTGACATTCCAATAGCAGTAACAGCTTCTCGCCCAAGAATGAGCCTGGAAGAAGGCATAAAAGCTGTTGGTCTGCAAGGCTATTTCGATGTCGTAGTGGCGGCGGAGGATTTCCGCCGAGGGAAACCCGAGGGCGACATGTTTGAGATTGCAGCAGAGCAACTTGATCTTGAGCCTGATGCCTGTCTTGTGATGGGTAGCTCAAACTTGACGACAGAGTCTGCGCATACCGCTGGGATGAGGTGTGTGGCGGTTGCAAGCCGGCACCCTGCCTATGAACTCCATGCAGCAAACCATGTTGTGAGATGGCTCGATCAGCTCTCTGTTGCTGACCTGCAGAGGCTCGCCAATGGCGAGGTTCTTGGACGCAGGGGCAGACGGTCTGACATGGACATGGAGATTATGATCGAGGAGTGATGTTTCTGCAGGCACTTATCTGCTACTAATATATAATCATGCTGTAACTTCAGTACTGCATTACAACATTTTGTAACAGACCAAGTAGTGTAACAGATCAGCGTTCACCTCTTGGTTTCTTGTAATGCATAACTGAAACTCGTCTAGCTTAGATGCTTTCAATCATCAGAAAGGAGTTTGAAGCGAAGAAACTTCCCACCGTGCAAATCTTTTGCTGTGTAGTACATATATTACCTCTTCTATTTTATTCCTCGGGCTTTCTCAGAGATGATCGCTGGAGTTGTTTAGTACTACTACATTGGTAAGTGCCGATTAACTGAAAATGTGTGGAAGGTTTTATTTACAGAAAGAACAGATGATGCCCATCTCTACGCATGGGCGTTATGCTAGCATTCATTAGGACAATCTAAACAATTTGCATATCAGTAGTGTGTAAAAATCTCAAAATTTTATCACGCTCCAGTAAAAAATGTAAATTCAATTACTACAACAAAAGTTTATGTTTTTGCACTGCCCACACCAAACAAGCAATTTAAACATTCTAAAACCAAAACTTGGCACATTATTTTTGTAATACAATGGATATATACAAGGGGATAATTATTTTTAAGAAACTTTCATGAAAAATTCTACATTGTTTCCATGAGCATGAACACAAGTGTTCAAGGTCGACCCTCACTTCTCCAACGCATAACCTTCCAATCACTTCTCTTTTTGAAAAAGTTTTTAAGCATAAGAGGCATTTTTTTTTTGTATTTTCATTCTTTTAATTTTTTGTTTGTTTCACCCATAACTACAAAAACAAAAACAAAATCTACTTAGTGAAGAAAGCAAACAAGCATACATGAGAATATCAACCCCACGCTATTGCCCCGGCAACGGCGCCACAAAAGAGCTTGATAATCCCTAAATGCAAGGAATCATCGTAGCAATTTCCAAAGGTGGAAGTGATAAGTACGGAGTGTCGAACCCATAAGGAGCTAAAGATAAAGATCAATATTCTCTCAAGTCCTATCTGCCACTGATACGACTCTACGTACATCGAACGTTTGCTTTCATCTAGAAACGAGAAATAAAACTACGTTGTGGGTATGAAGAGGATAACTTTGCATGATATCGAAGAACTAAAATATAAAAATAAGTGTTGTTAACATAAAGTTAGAATATATTACTATATATTATAAGTAGGGAGTGTGGAATAATGATGGGTTGGTGTGCGGAATTGTCCTAGGCAATTGTTAACAAGATCGGTGATCGTTATTGCAATTTTATATGAGGGAGAGGCATAAGCTAACATACTTTCTCCTTGGATCATATCCACTTATGATTGAAACTCTAGCAAGCATCCGCAACTACTAAAGATCCAACCATAGCATTAAAATATCAAGTCCCCTTTATCCCATACGCAACAACCCCCTTATTCGGGTTTATACTTTTGTCACTCAAGCAACCCACTATAAGCGGATCATGAACGTATTGCAACACCCTACAACGGTAATCCCTCACGTGTGCGCGGCACAGAAGGCACCATAGGACAACATCAAAATAAAACATACAACTCAAACCAATCTAAATCATCAATCAATCCAAAGACAATAGAAATCTACTCAAAACATTATAGGATGGCAACACATCATTGGATCATAATATGTGGCATAAAGCACCATGTTCAAGTAGGGGATTACAGTGGTGTGCGAGAGAGTGGACCGCCGAAAAGAGATGAGGAAGATAATGAAGATGGTGATGTTGATGAAGACTATCACCGCGGCGATGGTTCCCCCGGTGGCACTCCGGCGCCACCGAGAGAGAGGGGGAGAGGGCCTCCCCATTGTGCTTCCTTCTCCATGGCCTCCCCCCCCCTAGACGAGGAGAGGTTCTCCCTCTGCTCCTTGGCCTCCATGGTGATGATGGCCCCCTTCGGGATCCTCCTCCATGGCCTCCGGTGATGATGGCCCAATCCGGCAGGGTGCCGGAGAGGGTCTAGATTGATTTTTCGTGGCTACAGAGGCTTGCGGCGGCGGAACTTCCGATCTAGATTTATTTCTGAGGGTTTTGGTACTTGTAGGAATTTTTGGCGCCGGTCTCATGTCAAAGGGGTCCACGAGGCAGCGGCAAGGTAGGAGCACCCTCCCGTGGGGTATGACGCGCCCCCTACCTTGTCGTCGTCTCGGGACTCTTCTGGTCCAACTCTTGTGCTTCGGGGTTCTCTTTTGGTCCATAAAAATCACCGCAAATTGTTATCCCATTCCGATAATTTCTATTTCTGCACAAAAAAGACACCACGGTAGTTTTGCTGAAAACAACACCGGTCTGGATTGGTTCTAATCAAAACATACCAAAACCATATAAAATTGTTGTAACATGGCATGAATACTTTATAAATTATAGATACGTCAGAGACGTATCAATCTACTATCAGGCATCAATTGATTCACATAGTAGATGATAAATTTGTGATAGGCTCACTATGCATGTCAATGGACCTGGATCTTATTGAATTTCGGATGGTAAAAAGTTTATTTATCAGTTTACTTATTATGATACTTTGAACTTTTTTGGTTTTCTATTTATATGGTGAAAAAATGGTTTGTTCACAATTTAGTAGATGGTAAAGTGTAAGTTAAAAAGACATTTCAAATTACTTTTGTATATTGTGCTGCTTCCGATAGTTGTTTCATCCCTGGAGACAACACCAGAGCAATATATTTTACCCTGTTTACAAAAACCTGGTTGTTTCCAACAGTAGAGATTGAGGCTCTCTTGCAGGTTTCTTTTTGTACCCTGACCACTTTGCATTATATCCTTCTGATGTAGGGATAAAATTGCAAGAGACACACATTTTTCCTCGCCTATGAAACACAAATTTTCTGATTAACTCATCTCACATGTCTCATCTTCTACCACAGGTAAATATATGTGTTCTTTGTACGCGTTTAGCCACAGGTAAATATATGCATTCCTTGTACGCATTCTTTTACTTGACTAATCTTCATATGTAATGTCCTTCTTGGTCGTGCAAAGGGGTAAATCTATCACCTTGGCTGGATGCACTGATGAGCAGCTCAGTCTCACGCTCAGCTGACAGATCGACGGGCTGAGGCGGGCTTTCATCAGAGAATAGAAACGGGGAATGACCTTTGAGCTGATGGAGGGATCACTCACATGTTTGTGTTGGCTTTATCCAGGGAACACTTTTTGCGAATATTATCCAGGGAACGCATCAGGGCAAGGTGCACTCTGCACTGATGGATGATTAGAGAGCGTCAAATAAAGATCATGTGTTAAAATTGTATATTTAACTCTAGATATTGCATTATTATGTTATGTTATATGTATCAAAATGCATGTTTGGCATCCATGCTCATGTCAACCACCACGGGTGGGATGGCATGTTGAAATGGAGGGTGTGGACCCTCGAGGGTATTGTGTCATGCATACCACAATATATTTTTCGTTTTTTTATTTTCTATTACAACGCACGGACATGTTTGCTAGTGGCATAGTAAATGATAAAATCCCTTGTTTGAAAATCCTGTTGCTTCCCTCGAAAAGGAAAATTTGGAGCACGACATGTTGAAACTTGTCGCATGAGCCACCCACCGTCGAAGCTAGCTGGTGTGCTTACTTCACTCGGACTGCTATTCGTCGGCAAACTAAACGTACGCGTCACAAGACAGTACTAGTACCTCCGCGGTTCGCACAGGTCCAAACGATGAAAGAAATCGCCCAGCGGCTCTCGATTCAACCCGCCGGAAAGGAGCGCGGTGACGGGACGACGAACAGGTGTTCGGCGCGCCAGGGAACACCGCGCCCCAGCGAGTGGGACGCCGCGCGTGTGGTTCCACGAACAACCGCGCCCCACCTCCAGCCAGGCCGCCACGGCCCACGCCACGTACGCATCCGGCGTTACATGACGGGCAGGGGTACGGCCAGGAGCCTGCGACGTGTGCGAGCACCAGCCGGGCCGGTCGGCGTCGCCAGCGCACGCGCGCTGTCGCGCAGCCGAGCGAGCGAGCGGGCAAGCGGGGCCGACCGGAGCGCTCGCGGTCGCGCCCCGTCGCGTCGTCGAGACTTGCCCCGCGAGGTGCAGCCCTCGCCATACGCCGTCGAGCGGCCGGCATGGGCGAGGCTGGTGGTTGTACCGTGCTCGTGACGCGCATCGCGCACCGACGACGGGCTCGGCTCACATGATTTCAAGTGCATACAATCCAAATAATCGGAAATCTTTTTGTCACGTCCCACATTACTGCACAACCGGACGAAAGAAATAATGCCATGTCTGAAGAACATAGCCACCAGATTTACGGATCTACAGTGCCAGTGTCGCGCTTTCAGCGGCGTCCTTTCAGCGCCTGCGTATAGCTTTCTGAAGTGCCTCGCTGATCATCCCGGGTTCCACGGCGCCAGGACCGGCAAACTGTAACGGTTCACCGAAGCACATCAGTAAATCAATACTGGCCTCCCGTTAATGCTGCATCTCTACTGCCCGATCGAGCTTAATTAATCAGCTGCTACTAGACCTCACCTGAGCTCGTATCTTGAGAGCGAGGAGGCCGTCAGGCGTGGACGCGCGGACGGACAACACGTCCAGGCGGAGGCTCTTGATGGCGTCGAACACTTGTGTCATCAGTAGCTCCTTCCACCGGCATTGCACCTCAAGGAGCACCTCTTTGTCCGTCACGGTGACATTGACGATGTTGCTCGGGCCGTCCTTGGGGAGAGGCGTGTCCTCCCCGCCGAGCTCCGACGCCTTTCTCTTAGAACCAGCTAACACCTTCTTCCCGCCGACTTCATGACGTTTCCTGACAACTGTTGTTCCGGCAGCCTTGTTAGATTCTAGCTCCTCCACCTTCTGTTCCAGCTCTCTGAGATATGCTATCGTCTCAGCTAGGATGGATGCCTTGTCCACCTGCAATTACAATTCAGAAAGAAAGAAAGAAAAAATGTACTCTTCTCAGTATGGAACACATATGTCTAGTACTCCTTTTTTTTTTTAACTTTTTTGGTGGTGTGCGTGTGTTACCTTGTGAATGGACGGGACCAACGACTTAAGAATCAGAAACATCTCGTTGAGCTTCTCCCGGCGCCTCCTCTCCGAAATGACATGGTTTTTGGTGTTGGTGCTTTCCTGAGCTCTAGCGGTGCCGTCGTCACCATTATTTGCCCATGCCCCACCGGCCAAAGCTTTCTTTAGCAATTTCTGCGACTCCCGGTGACCGGCACAACCACGTCTTCGGCCGAGTGCCATGATCTCTTCCAAGCCGCAAAGCACGATGGGTGAGAGGGTCCAATGGAGCTAAAAGCAACAGCACCACTAGTGACCCCGTCCGTGGCGACAGGCGCTGGCGGCGCTTCCGGCGAAGACATGACCTCGAAAGACCCGCCCATGATCCAGTTTTCCTCGAGAGCCCCCACATCCAGCTCATCGCAGAGGCCGCAGAACCCGTTGATCTCCTTCGTGATCCGCTCGAGGTTGCCATCGGATAGGCACTCAACCTCCCCTGGCTCAAGTTCCCCGGTTATCATTGTGGCCATGGTGTCATGGTTGAGGACATCGAACACGATGTCAGCGTCCCCAGTATCGTCTACTGATGGGCTGGAGTTCGGCTCCTCCGACTTCGAACATGTTGGGAACTTCAAGTCCCAGAAAGATGTTCTGATCGGGTTCACCATGCCCATGTCTTCCAAAACCTAGCAAATGGATTGAAATCACCTTGCTTATTCAACAGAATTAATCACTACTTCACTAGCATTTCATTCGGTGAAGAAACGGATAAACTCGTGGATTGGTTTGTTCTTTGGTCTTCATGACTTGATGAGGGGGTCTTGCAGACGAATGGTACATTCTTATATGTTCGGCTTTATTAATGTATTCCGAGGATAAGAATCTATATGCACTACGTTATGGAACGGAGAGAGTAGTATTCTTTATAAATTTTGTCAAAGTTTGCAAAGTTTGACTTCAAAATATCTATGCACTACATTATGAAATGGAGGGAGTAGTATTTTACCAAAGGTACCGGCAAAAACTAAGGGACATCCAGTCAACACGAATGAAAAAACAGTTTCAATCGATTATGTTTGAACTGTCCAACGGCTGCCCTCCTGGCCCGGAGCACACTGTTTATCTTCCCCACAAACCCCTCCTTCTACCTGCATTGCCTCCGCCCTAGCCCACGATTAGATTGCGAAAAAACTAATGGGTTTAGCTCAACCAAATTGTTGCAGATGAGATTTGCCCGTGTAAGGGACGATGTGTATGCCTCCTTTGTCGAGAAAAATAGAACAATGTGGATGCACCACCATTGCTAAATCCTACCAATAAAGACTAGAGCAATGAATTTCCCAACAACGCCAGGTTCAACAAAACTGCTGAAAGGCCAGGCCTGAGGTAGTTAGTTTTACCGCCGCACTTGCCAAGCCAACATTGCCATTCTCAAGCAAATGCCAGTGGAGCCCCATGCACTTAAGAGAAGAAGTGTCATCTTACCATGGACAACTTGGGAGCTCACATATGGAAATGCAATGTGCATGTGATCGCACTATACCCATGAAAGAGTTTAAAGTTTTCCAAGTCCGTTGGTCAAGCCACATTTTCCATGGTGACATAGTTGCGCCGACACCCGATCCAAGTTGTACTTGATAAGGAAAGAAGTCACCAAAAAATAAAGGCATCCTACCACACCTATCAAAAAGCATGCCACAAACAAATATGTTGAAGCACGTGGGCAAAACCATTGCACTAGGACCCAAAATGATGTGACGCTAGAAACCAAGCACCGTGATATCGAGATGAACAACCGAGTGCCAAAGGAGAGATGGACGAGTCAGAGGTACCACACCAGCCATTGCCGCATGCCTCCTATGTTACAAGAC